TTTAAAGCGATGGTCCCCGAAATGGACAACATTTTTGTACGTAATTTGTATAACTGATCCTGCTTGCACCTTCATCTCTACCATATCTTTAAAATGTTGGAATGACGATCTTTTATTAACATTGAAATGACTTACATCAGTGTTTTCAAAGATCAAACCCACTTCCTCTGATACAACAACACTCTCATTGTAATAAGCATTAACAATATATTGTTGACTAGTAGACATTATATAAGAATATGTGCTGAAAATGATTGGTGTTTGTGTAGAACATGCAAGAAGAAATAGTATGAAAATGTTTGAAGATGATGAAAAAATAATGGGAACTACTCATAGTTATAAAGCAAATGATAGAATACATTTGGCATTTTTCAGCCTTGCATGCAAGAATATCACACGAGGCATTTGGTCAATGGAATAAATGTGCCACCCATTGGATTCGCGGTAGTCAGAAAAAAATAAATGTGTGCCGCCCATTGGTTTCACGGCAGTCAGAAATTGAATAAATGTGTCGCCCATTGGTTTCGCGGCAGCTAGACACAATAAATGGGTGCCGCCCATTGGTTTCGCGGATGTCTGACATGAATTAAATGTGCCGCCCATTCAAAGGGCGACGGTCAGACGTAAGAATTCTGCTCCCATGCATGCAGCCACACGTATACAAATTCATCTCAATTTTTTTTTTACCGACATCTATTTAATTCTTACCTACATTAATCTCCTATAAATACCATATCACTATTATTACAAATTCATCTAAACACCCTACAAATCTTAAAAAACTCACTACTACCACTCTTACAAAATAGTTTTACTAATCTTAGGACATGATCATCGAGGCACACTTGCAAACATTACATCATATGTAAGTTAATCTTATTTATAATGTTTACAATCATATAATATTTATGTTAGTTATTTAAAATCTTATTTAAAATATTTACAATCTTATTTAAAATGTTATAATGTTATTTATCTTACTTAAAATATTTAAGTTGTTAATTGTTAAAATATAAATAACATTATAATATTTATGTTAGTTATTTAAAATCTTATTTAAAATGTTATAAGGTTATTTATCTTATTTAAAATATTATAATGTTATTTATCTTATTTAAGTTGTTACATTATTATAATGTTGTTTAAAATATTTTTTTGTAGGATGAAAAAAATTTCAAACCACGCTCATATTAAGTATATAGAGCCTAATCAAATTATCAAACCATATTTGGTTCAAGCAGGTTTCGGTCACGTCATCCCCCAAGATAACTTCATATGGAATTGATCGCAAATTTCTTCTCGCCTTGTGCGAAAGATGGCGACCAGAAATCCACACATTTCACTTCCCCACAGGTGAATGTACAGTGACCTTGGGGGATGTCCATATGTTGTTAGGTCTCCGTATGGATGGGTTAGCGGTTGTTGGTGACACAAACGTTAAGTATGATTTAGTGGAAGAACTGTTGGGGGTGCCTTTGGAACGAGGTGATAGGAAGGGACAAATCCTTAAAATTACATGGCTAAAAAGAATTTATGGTGCTTTGAACTTGAGCGCAGAGTCTCCCGAGGAACTCAAAATTTATAAAACTAGAATTTATATATTATTGCTTTTTGCATGCTTTTTATTTCCTAATACTAATGATAATACTATCCATCTTCAATTTTTACCATTACTAGAAGATTTAAGTCAAATAAATAGATATAGTTGGGGCGCGGCTAGAAATTTGTGTAGATGCGCAAGGAAAAATGTGCATAATTTTGTTGGTTGTGGCGTTTTGATTCAAGCTTGGGGATGATCTAGAATGCCCATACTGGCGCCGATAAATCCCAATCCATATCACTTTCCATATGCAACCAAGTAAGTATACAAAGCTTATGTATATATACTTTTCATCTATAATTTTTACTAACTATTTATTTCATAGATGGTTCGCTCTAGGGTATCGGACGTTCTTCGATCATTTTGAGGAAGATGATGTATTGTCTCTAACACTTATACTACTATCACTTTCCATTTTTTTATTTAACTCTAATCCCTTTTTAACTATATTATAGTTTCTATGGAGCCCCTATCTTGAACTTGAAGATGAGGATCCAACTCAAAGCGACATGTGGAGTTCTACAACATTCATATTTTGTTTCACTTATGTTGAAATGCATCACTCAGATAGGGTGAAACTTCAATTCGGAATTCAACAAGACATTCCTGGTCCACCTACATGCATGGAGAGGTACCACAAGAGTACAACGAACGACCAATGGAAATTCGATAATTAGATAGACCATAACAGACAAGAACGTCAACACTGGATAAATCGTCGTCAAACTGTTCTACAAGTAAATTTACATAGGGAATACATGAGTTGGTATAGATCTGTGACCATTTTGTATCTATCACAAAATAGATACTTATGAGACCCTCGTAACCAACCAACTTCTTCAAACTTCCAAAACACCAAACAACCTTGTAACAGCCAACCACAAACATTTAACACCCCTCAATAAATATTTAATACCCAACCATAAATATTTAACACCCAACAACAAACATTCCACACCCAACAACCTTTCAACCCAACACAACAACCTTATACCCCAAGCCAACACTACCCTCAACCTTACCTATCATTTAACCCAACCCCCTTTAACACCCAACAACAAAACCCAACCTCTTCATACACCCAATATAACCAATACTCATTCCCTCAACCTACGCCATAAGAGCACAGCTATCAAACGCCCCAACCACAAGTTTCTTTTTACTCTTCACAAACCTTCACCCTTAACTCATCTCAAGACCAACATCCATACACCCCCTATATGACTAACACAATGTCACCTTCAAACCTACCAAGTTGGAGTAATGAGGGAACAAGATTAAACTATGGCAGTGCGTCGGCGATACCAACTGTGGATGATTTGAGTGATGATATGGTCGCTGAATTTATGAACCGTAGCAATAATGCAAGACCTTCTACACAACCCCCAAACTTTGATGTTGATCGTAGAAGGTCCACCAGAAATGTACACGCTCCTGCATGTGAAACCCACCAGCATTTACGTCGACCGGGTCAAAATTAATTAAAGGTGGATAAGAATTTTAATTTACTTTTTTAATTTCATGAATAAATAAATATTTATTTTAATTCATTTATTTTATTTCATTTTATTTTAGTACTAATTTATTTTTTATTGTATATATTAATTATTATTATTATTATCTATTTCTTAATTATTATTTATAATTTAATAATAATAATTATTTTTCATAATTATTTAGATATAATACGTAATTATTATTTTTATTTAAATATAGAATACATAAATAAAAATGAATTAAAACTTAAAGACAAAAATAAAATACACGTGCACACTGGGTGACACCTAAATAAAAGAGATTCTTTCGTCCATTGAAATGGCGACACCCTTATGAAAAAAACAACTTTTTCAAAGCTGTAACATTATGGTATATAATTTGAAATAGATGGTATTTTGGAAATAACTTTCTAATAACATGGCCTGGCATCAGAAAAAACTTCTCTATATCACTGTATTTTTTAATACTTAAAAAAAAAAAAAAAACCTTAGCGACATTAATTTTAACAAATAGAATATTTCCAATAACAGTGTTACACATCTCATTGATTTGTGTGTTAAATCGTATAATTCAGATACTATTTCGAGCAATGGTGACAAAAAAAATGTTTGTATTGAATAAATATCATGACCGTATATAAGTGGTCACTGGCCTAGAACATATCCATGTGGCACAACCTCAACCTCATATAACAGAAAAGAATACAAAAGATCAACAAGGCAGCTTCACATTAACTGTCATGACATGACTTCTCTCACTCTAAACTTTGCAACTTCACTCATTCCTTCTCCCCTTTCCCTTCTATCCTCTCTTCTTCTCTGAATCAAACTAACATACATAACTGGTACGTTTCTTTCTATCACTTCTTTACATTGCTTAACACTTTCCTCACTTTTTGGATTCTAATATTATTACTATCCACTTTATCTTATCCATATATTTAATCTATTACTCTGCATAATTAGATTCTAACTTCAATATAATAATCATTATATAATACTATTTTGTAGGGTTTCTTGGTTTAATTAGTGGTAATACTAATAGTAGTATCAATAATAGTATTTTCTTAGTACAGTGTTTTGTGATGGACTTGAAGATTTTTCAGCTGACTTAAATTCAATTTCAACACTTGATTCTTGTTGTTTGGATGGACATGAAGATTTTTCATGAACAAGAATGCATCTTTGAGATGAAATCCATTCTTAAGCTTGTTCTCTAACAGTTTGAGTTTATGGTATGAATGAATTCTCCTTGACATTATCCATGGCAAGAGATTATTTTCAACTTCATTACAACCTAACTTATAATGCTTTTGTGAAACAATTTTGCTATCTTTGTTAGTTAACTTCTGAATGCAGTTTGGATTGATTATTTGAACTTATTTTTTGATATAAACACTTGTGAAATTATCTGGGAAGAGAACTTATGAAAACAACTAATAATATGTTTATAACTTGTTTTTGACTTATTTACACACGCTTTTTAGGATAGCTTATGAAAACAGTTATTTTGACTTGTGTTGTCGAAATAATTAAGTAGTTTATTCAAACATGATCTAAATCTAAAATAGTTGAATTAAGAACGTTGCATAAAGAAGCCAAAATAAAAAGTTTCAGGGGTTCAACTATTGGTGAAAACTTGAGACTTAAGAGCGTGCTCTTTTAAAAGTCCGGGTTCGAATCCCGTTAAGTACTAACGATTTCTGTGTTGGACTAATCCATCCAACAAACTTCACTCGGGCATTAATTGTGCTGAGTAACACATATTTCAGTCAAGTAATTTGGTGCTATGCTTAACCTTACTTGCACTCAGAATTATTTTCATTTTAAGGTTCTACATGACTGGTATTTTCGATCCGAATAATATTTCAGGACCTTTATGTGAAGAGTTTATCTTTCTGAAGATGAGTGGAGAAGAAAACAAGAAAGTAAAATCAAAGACTGATAGTGAACTCTTTCTGAATAATGCTAACAAATGCAATTGGAAGATTTTGAATAATGAATCATGTGCAGGTGCAAATGCAGCTTCCAGAGCTGACATGAAATTAGCTACAACTGATCCTCTATCTGAAATAGTTTGGTCTCCGGAAAATGGTTTAAGTCTTAAATGTGCTGATAAAAATAGTTCTCTTTTTCGCGTTGTTGGACCAAGCTATTGTATGGTTCTTTCTCCGCCGCAAAGTGTTACTTATTGCAACTCTATCACTCATGAACCTATAGCTGTCGAGTGCGTCGATAGAGGTAATGCAGATACAATGAGTGATTCAGATGTCAAGCCAGATTCTAAAGTCGAAGAAGAAAATAATATCGGTAAAGGAAAAAAGGTAATCGGAATAGATGACGATGATGATTTACGTACCGTAGTTGAGCCTATATTTGAATATCGAGGCTCTGGTGATCTGCGGACTAATTTAGCGTCCTCCAGCCGAAATCCCTTAGGAAAATTGGAATCTAGTGCCGAAAATGATTTAAAAAATGTTGACGCTGAAGCTGCTTGTGCTGCAACATGTGGAGTTATTGTTAAGGAGATTAAAAACGAAACTCAGGACAATGAAATGATACTACTTTCCGATAAGGTTCTTCCGGTTTCACATTCTCCATGTAACAGTGGAATTCGCGTGGCGGAAAACAAAGGCAAGGAAAAGTTCTTACCAGACAGGGATGTAAATGTAAGATTATCAATGGATAGTGACAGCAATTCGAGTGTTGAAAGCTGTAACAGTGCTAGGTTTTTTTCCACAGGTAAAAAGCGGCGTAACTTTCAACATCAGCAGTTGATAATCAGAAGTAAAAGAGTGAAAAACAACGTTGAAGAAACTTCTGGTTCTAAATCGTACGTTAAACAAGAAAGCTCATTCAATAATTGGATTTCAAGCATGGTGAAAGGGCTCTCGCAGACAATTCAAAATGATTCAGGCGCTTTAGCTCTTAGAATTGCAAATGCAGATCGTCCTAATGCAGATCGTCGTAATGCACGGTTTGAAGAGAAATTTATCACGTGCAGAAGGAATCAAGATCCTGAGCCAAAAAATACAGGATTCAGATCCATTTTTCAGTCCATGTACTGTCCAACTTCGAAGTATGTAGGAACACGAATGTCTCATCAAGAAGGAGAAAGTAACGAGGATTTAGAGCCAAGTAACATGGTTCAAGGAATAAATGCTACTCCAATAACCTGTTTTCCAGATAATAATAGCCTTGCCGAACGGCATTTTCAATCAAACAAGTTTGAAGCATCTACAGGTAGATATGATGCTGGTCCGTCGCAGCCTAACGTGGAACCATTAAATTATTTTAACTGTATGGAAAGTAGAAAAAATAAGCAAGTAAGGAATGAAAATTGTTCAAACATGGATCTTAGGAAGGACAAGGAAGAAATGGCATCAAAATCATCTTCAGCCAGACAAAATACAAATAATACGGATAATGTGGATTCCAATGCACCATCCGAAAGAAAGGAGGCGGAGAATATCGATCACAGAAGAGACAATCCAGGGAGTCTGTGGATAACTCGATTTGCTCCGAAGTCAACTTCGCCCTTGTTCAACGACCTTTCACCATCACCAGGATTCGCAAACCCGGAGCAAATACCTTTGAAGTTTGCAAGGAGACCAGTTATTATCGAACATATCAGGCCGACAATCAAAGCAGAATGTACCTCACAAGTAAATATGTTTTGCTTGTTTTGCGGAACAAGAGGTCACGAAATTCGTGATTGCTCAGCCGTTTTAGAAAGTGAGCTAGAAGATCTTCAGAAGAATGTAAATTCATATGAAGGTCAGGAAAATTTTCCTTTTATGTGCATCAAATGTTTTCAGCTCAACCACTGGGCAATTTCATGTTCCAGTTCAATCTCAACAAGGAAACATGAATCAGAAGTTAAAACCTTGGTCCATGATAGAATCGATAAAGAAACAGATCAGAATATTAGTTTGAAGCGGAAATCAAATGATTTTGTAACTGCCAAGATGGAATGCAATGCATCATCATGCAAGAAAAACTCCGGTTCTACTTCTTCAAAGGAAAACAAATCCAAAGACAAGCCTATTATAACATCTCCGTTAAGATTGACAGAAAGAAAGATTTCACATGTGCCTGAGGGAATCTTTGATGCAGTGAAGAAGCTTCAGTTGTCCCGCTCCGATATCCTGAAGTTAGTAATGCAAGCCAATTAACTAATACCGACATACTGTCACATTTTTGCATAATACTGCATTAACTATAAACAACTTAAAAGAATTTCTCTGTATGATTGTATCAGATGGATAACTTCTCATGGATCGATATCTCAACTCGATGGTTTTTTCTTGCGACTGCGGCTTGGGAAGTGGGAAGAAGGGCTTGGAGGAACTGGATACCATGTAGCTTATATAATTGGTATAATGTAGAATTATACCTTGATCTATTTTTTTGAGATAACATGTTTTTATTTTTAAACATTCTATTATTCTGGTGTATGACAGACACCGGGAGACATAGTTTGGAGCAGCATACCAGAAAATCTGTGTCAGTGAAAGTAAAAGGAATAGAGTGTATGGTAGAAAGTCATTATATATCCAATCAAGATTTTCTTGAGGTAATAATCAATTATCAAGGAATGTTGTAATTGAAGCTATTGGTTTCCATGTCATTTTGACTCCATAAACTCTTGTGAAGTTTTCGAGTGGGCGTGATGATGCTCTTGTTTCCTTTTGTGCAGGAAGAAATCATGGAATGGTGGTCTAACACCTCTGAAGCAGGTGTTGAGATTCCATCTGAAGAAGATTTGATATCAAAATTTAAAAAGAAACAATTGTTGGGCCTTTAGCCATTTGTTAAGTGTTGATGTATGTATCATCATCACAAACAGCTTATGCTCTCATTTTTTGTTTCTTATTTATAAAAAGTTATAGAAAATAATACCAATTTAGCCATAAGATACATCCAATCCAACAAAACATTGTGAAGTGTGAACTGTCAATAAAACAAGCACTCAGTACTGACTTTGTCTATATTCTGTTGTGCTGCCAATCATCATTTAACTGTTATAACAAATTAAAACAAAGGATCTTGTTTAGGCATTTAACAAGGTATTGCAATTCTTGTCATATCATTTAACTATCACACTCGCGGATCACTGAAGTTTAGCACAAGTGTTGTTGCACAGCGTGTGTAAGTATTGTAAACTCTGAGATACGCTGAACTCAATTATGTAAGAATACCGACTCACTAAAAAACAAACATCGCACTCGTGGCATGACTTTATCACTTGTTTTCAAATCATGTTCCATCCAAGTTTGTTTGCAACCTCGCTATCAATCATACAAATTTCTACATAAGAGACATACTACGAGCAGAACATGCACAAAATGTATTAAAGCTCATCTTATCTCATGATTAAAAACCAAGAACAATGCATAATCGTAACATTAAAACTTTCTTGATTAAAATACTGGATACAAAGTTATACTTAGACCTCTTATTAAAGCCTATAGAGGTCATTAAAAACAAATAAAAAATCAAATACATCATGAAGGCTTTACTCACTCTAAAATGCCATTGTAATATAACACTAACTACATAAGATGATATGAACTAGCAACATTCATACTCCTCCTATTCTCATAATTGCATCATCAGATACACAGACTTAGCACAATAACAAATTTGAAATCAAGAATAATACAAATATCAATCCTATAACATCGAATTGCATCATGATTCATGCCGATACCAATCCTATAACATCGAAAACGCATCACGATTCATGCAGATTCTTTTTTGGCTTGTTTCAGGTACTCTTCCATCTCATTAAGCCATAGATCAGCAAATTCGCAATTCTTCCAAGCCTCAAACCACGGCCCTCCACGAGTATAATGAATGGCCTTAGGTAAAGTAGCGGAATCATTTTCAACAACCCTATTATGCCCTTCAAGAAAATTCCAAACAAAAGGTATAGAACCAATTTCATCATCCTCAAGCCATTGAAACCTATGAAGGTAAGCACCAGTCTGAGAATTGACAGTATCAGGAGTAAGAATCTTGTTCTTAGGATGACCACAGTTATACAAAACCATTGAAGACCAATTCTTTCTTGGGTAAACAGTTTGAACAGCACCATCCATTTTTGTTGTCTCTTTTGGAGCATAATCATGTTGAACACACATAATAGCATATTTATCTTGAATCAAATCTACCAATTCCTTAAAATCAGCTAAATAGAGAAAATCACAATCCACAAACAAAGCCCAACCTTGATAATTAGCTAAATAAGGTGTTAAGAATCTTGTAAAAGAGAACTCAGTGCTCTCAAATTGACCTCTTTCACGCCAATAAAGACCAGTTTTTCTCAGATCTGATTGCTTAATTGGTATGATCTCAACAGGAATGGAAGACCTTTTGATGATTGAATGACGACATACCTGAAATGCAATGTCTTCACGTGGATCATAACCTACAAAGATCTTAAAGGGTTTCTTTGAATTCTCATTCTCATTCTCAGCAGCATCAATAGCTATTCCATTACCATTACTAGTTGGTAATGAAGACTGATTCTTCTCATTGCTCAAACTCATCTCTGTCAAAAAAAAAAAAAAAACAACAATTAATCTATGTAATAAGGATATCAAATCAAACACACACCCATTTGATAATTCAGAAAAAAGAAATTAAAAATGTAATCTTTTTCAATTTTCAAAATGACCCAATAGTTGAAACAAAAAATTAAGAATGAAATGAGCAATAATAATAATAATAATAATTACCAGAAAGAAAGTGTGTGTTGTGGAAAAAAAGAGGAAATTTGAAGAGAAAGATTGAGATTTAGACCGACAATGTAGGGTTATATATAGGCCACAGAAATCTAGAAATTTGATTGACGCGTAGTAAAGTGTATTACAATAGCTGGATTATAGCATGCTATCTTCAATCTCTTCCAATCAGGAACCTTAACCCATTGTTTCAATGTTAAATCCACCTTTTATTAGTATATAATTTTTTTTATTCATAGTAGAGAGATTCTATTACACTGTGTTTTCATAAAATATCTTATATGTATAAAAGTTATTAAATTATTGAATTTTTTTTGTTCATTTATTAAATACAAAATTAAAATTATTTTAATTATTTATAGATTTATGTAATTATTTATTTTTGAATTATTCAATAGAAGTTTTATTTATAAAATTTGTGAAATTATTATAGAAAATTTTAATGATTTCTCATATTTATTTAGTTATTTATTTTCAATTATTCAATAAAAATAAAATTTTCTTACTCTAATTAATTAAAAACCATAAGTTTTCTCTAATAACTTTTTTTTTAGAATCAAAAATGTATTGAAGAGGACATTAGGGGTGTCCAACCCAATGCAAAGGAGAACAAAAAGGGAAAGAAAAACAGAATCACAAACTGAAGACAGAAAATTATCCAAGTTCTCTCCAATCCTCTAAGAGAGATTGAATCTGATACAATAATGATTGAAAATTTAACATTTCTCCTCTAAAAATAATCTTGTTTCGAATCCTCCAAATAGACCAAAGAACCGCAAACCAAATTCTACACCGAAAAATTTTCTCCACAGATCCTGTTAGAGCAGAGTTTATAATTTCCATGTTGTCCAAAATTGAGTTCATATCAGGGGGTTGAATTCCCAACCAAACAAAAACCATAGACCAAACATGAACGGAGATCCGGCAAAGAATGAATAAGTGGCACACAGTTTCTTCTTCCCGACAAAGAGGGCAAATTAATCCATTAGAGTTAACCATACCTCTTTTCCACAGCTGATACCGCGTTGGAAGGCGATCTAGAGCAACTCTCCAACCAAAGAATTTTATGCTAGAAGGTACATAGGCGTTCCAAATTTTTATCAACAAACTAGAAGTTGGGGGATTCGATGCTAACCTTTATCCTTGCAAGGAAATCAACCTTGAATAAGCATTTTTAACCGAGAAACCTTGTGGGTGCCGCCACCAAATGAAAGAATCCTAGCCTTGATGGTGAGGCTGCGTTTCAGCTAAGATCAGCCGCAGTTCATGAAGCTCTTGAACAGCCAGAGCAGACAGCGAATCAGTGCCAAAATTATCGTTTCAATGCCAAAGACCATCAGTCCAAAACCCAGAAGAAAATACACTAGTAGATTTGTTTGAGGCAGATTCATAAAGAGATGGAAACATGTGTTTTAGAGGTTGAGAACCGATCCAGAGATAGTGCCAAAAATCTATAAGCATATACCGTTTCCAAGTTTGCAAGACACCCCTTTGCCAAACCAACTCTCCTCGTCTCCAAATTTACCAACAATCTCCTTCAAATCCCTCCACCAAATAGAAGCTTTCGGCAAATTGGAAGGAAATCTCGACGGTTCAAGAAGAATCCTCTTTATATCGCCATAACAAAAAGTAAGAATCGACGCTCCCATATCTGGAGGATTTGAACAGAATTTCCAAGCCCATTTAAATAGAAGAGCTATATTGAAAGCTTCGCAATCTTTGATTCCCAACCCACCATCAGCTTTTGATTTACAAATATCCGCCCATGCAACCCAATTGATCCTACATTTTTGTTCCTCCCCTTTCCATAAAAAAGCTCTTTGAATGTTGATAATCTCTTGCAAGACTACTTTAGGCGCACGGTAAAAAGAAAAGAGGAAAACCGGTATTGAATTTAAGACTGAATTGATCAAAGTTAATCTACCGCCAAATGAGATGTGCTTTCCTCTCCATAAAGAAAGCTTGTTTCTAATCTTTGTCACCATCGGCTCCCATGTGGTTTTCCTTCTCGGGTTCGCTCCTATGGAGATTCCCAAGAAGTTAAACGGCAAGCTGGTCGTAGAGCAAGAGAGGAAAATTGATGCAACCTCGAGGAACCCATCATCCAAATTGACACCAATTACCTTGCTTTTTGTAAAGTTCACCTTCAGCTCGGACACCAGTTCAAACCCCCTTAGCATCACTTTAACGGCCAGAATGTTATCTCTATTAGAATCCCTCAAGATTACAGTATCATCTGCAAATTGAGATAAACTAAACTAGAGCTCTTCAGAAAGAATGAAAGGATGAAATTTTGCGGCTGCAATAGAATTCTGCATCAGTCCCGCTAAGCCTTCTGCTGCAATGATAAACAATAGGGGTGAAAGAGGATCGCCCTGTCGAAGTCCTCTTTCCATTTCAAATTCTTGCGTTGGACTGCCGTTTACCAAGATCGATAAGGTACCCGAAGAAATGCAGCCTCGTAACCACTTAATCCAAGTAGAACCGAAATTCATCTTCCTAAGGACATAAAACAAATATTCCCATGATACCGAATCAAAAGCTTTTTCGAAGTCTACCTTGAAAGCGAAAAGTTTCTTCTTGTGCCTAGCCGCGAAGTCTATTAATTCATTTATGATAAGCACTCCATCCATCATTGATCTCTTTGCTATGAACGCTGATTGGTTTAAAGAGATAAGTCCATCAATGACTCTAGCCAAATTCCCTGCCATAAGCTTCAAAATTATTTTATAAACACTGCCAATTAAGCAAATTGACCTATACTCTCTAAGCCCTTGAGGATTTGTGTTTTTCGGAATCAATGCCAAGAAAGCAGCCTTTAACGCCTTTGGAAGAAAACCTACAGAGAAGAATTCATTAATGCAAGCAAATAAATCATCTTTTATAATTTCCCACGTTGCCTTGAAAAATTCCATCGTGAATCCGTCCAGACCCGAACTTTTATCCGGAGCAGCCTCCCAAATAGCAGTTCTAATGTCATCAATCAAAAAAGGCTCCTCGAGAAAGACTTTATCAGATTGAGATAGAGATTTGAAATTAACTCCCTCCAGTAATGGTTTGTGCTGATTTGGTTCTTTGAAAAAAGCTTTGAAATGGTTGAATACAAAGTCTTTAATCTCTTTCACATCTTCAATCATTTCGTTCCCCTCTTTAATTGTTGTAATTCCCTGTCTGCGATACCTGTAATTTAACAAAGAGTGGAAATATTTGGAATTACGATCTCCTTCTTTGAGCCAACGACATTTTGATTTAGTCCTAAGAAACTCTTCTCGTCTATTAAGAGATTCCCAGTATGAATGTTATGATTCACTCCTTCGACTTTTCATCTGCGAATCATCTTAATAGTCATCAGCCTCAATCACCATGTCCTGATCATTTATCTCTTTCACTGCATCCGAAACTTTCAAATCTAGGATTCCGAAAATCTGTTTGTTCCAGACTTTCAGATCTGTTTTCAACAACTTCAATTTTTCCTTGAAGATGAACATATTCCTTCCACTGACCCGATACGATTTCCAAGCTTTTTCAACGAAAGGAAAGAAGTCTTCATATTTTAACCAGGCGCTAAAGAATTTGAAGGGCTTGGGGCCCCAGTTTAGATCAATTGTCTTTAGAAAAATTGGGCAATGGTCTGAAAAGGTTTTATCACCAACATACTGAGCATTCAAATTCCATATACGAATCAGAGACTCCGATAGAAGGAATCGGTCGAGCCTGCTCATTGAAGTACCAGAAGTATTGAACCAAGTGAATTTTCTGCCCACCGCTAGAAGGTCTAACAGCTCCATTCCTTCAATAAAGTCACGAAATTCAGTCATCTCTGAAGAATTGTGATACACATTTATTCCTTTTCTCTCGCTCGGTTTCTTTATTGCATTAAAATCGCCGCCCAAACACCACATACCAGCAGGAAATTATCACACCCTAATTTTTAACCATAAGATTCCACCTCCTCGTGCTCTGCTTGCCGATTTTACTTTTTCTTTTTTTGCTTTTGTACGCATACTTATTATGGCTAACTAGTGTGTGCAGCTGCAGTAATTCCAAGTGAAGATAACTTTCATGCTCACTAATAAAATTATTAAGAGGATTCCAAGACAGTTGAAAAATCTCATAGGGTACTTCAAGAATAGGATACCGTGACATTTGACCATTAAGGCTAGTCGGAAGCAAGTTATGACGCAAAATGCGGAGTCATGATCAAGGCGAGTTATAGGTGTTTGGAACACTCGAAGTCAAAAGTTTCATCAATTTTAATACGAATTAGAGACGCACAAATATGCCTTTAAACTCAATTTGGTTAGTAAACAAGGCCTCGATCGTACGGAGAGGAAGGATTAATGTTGTTTTCTTGGCAAGATTGATTGCACTTCTAAATTGAAAGGACCATGATTTCATGATTTCATCTTTTAGAGCATACAAAGAGCAAATTGCTACGCATGGCCACTGTTTTCCTTACAAAACGTTACAAGGCGCGTGACTTAAGAAGCGTGAACATAACCACTGTTACTTACAACTTTTCCTAACACTCAAAGGTCAATTCAATCCAGGAATGCATTTTAAACGAAATGGACAAAATACCATTGTGAATTGTCTTCTTTTTTAATGCCAACGTACTATATAATCCAAGTCATTACACAAGAAGGACACCTCCTTAATCAAAGGTTCTAATCCCCAAAGTACATTTAGTATTGGAAGCATTCAATTAAAGTCATACTTAAAGAAGAGGCAAGAAGCTCGCTTCAACAATAAAACACTAAAAGCTACACGAATATGACGACAAGAGAAAACACCCTATACAAAACTATGCTTCCGTAACGTGTGTGCCACATAAACGATTGCGTCCACGCATGGAACAACTCGCCGGATAGTTTCCTCATTAGCGCATTCAATAGCAGCAGCAATTTCGGCTCTGAAGTATTTCAATGGCTCGCTTGAACTGCCCAGAGCCTATTTCATCCCTCCTACAAAGAATGCCAACATGTTAGATTATCTGCAATATACTTTTGGATTTCAGAAAGATAATGTTGCTAATCAGCGTGAACACGTAGTTCATCTACTTGCAAATGAGTAATCTCGGCTTGGAGTTCCAAATCAAAACCAAAACCAAAGAGCAAGGATTGAGGACAAGCCCATATCCTTCCAAAACAATTCCAAACAGTATTGAAACAGGATAATCTAAGAAAGAAAATATCATCACATCTAACAGAGCTTCAAAGGAATTACGAGAAAGAAGACCTTACTGATGGTATCTCCCCATGTCTGAATCCGACTGCTGCAAATAATCATCAAAATAAGATCAGTGCCGACACAAATAAACATTTGAGGCAATACCACCATTGGTCATCTTCACCTGCAAATAGTGGACGCAAGGCAGCCTGTTACTTGTGAGAATTCAAGCTACCGCACAATTGGATGAAATCTTAAATTTATGCCATCACCTGCTTCCTTACAAATTACCCCAATTAGACAACAACTGCTGGGAAATCCACTGAAGCTCACCGTACATTTGTCAATTTTCCTCATACAATTCCTTTGATTGTCGTAGAGTCAAGGAGGGAAGTGGATGATGTAAAGGAATTGATAATCATAGTCAACAGTATGTTTTGGCTCTGCAGATGGAGTTGAAAAGAAGGGAAATGAAGGACAATCCAGTACGCCAGCAGGAGCTCGCAGCATATTTCACCCACTGCAATCTTTAGACACCTCACTTGAGGCTAGCTTTGTTGAATGCAATGACTGTCTGCTACAAAGCAAAGAACCATAACCACTACTAGTCCCAAAGACCATTAATCTAAACAACATCATTCGTAAACCTACAGCAACGATAAAGGATATCATCAAGAAACCAATAGGGCTTAAATATTTACAGCTAATCAGGATAAATTTGCTACATAGTGCAAGGACAGCCATTTGAGGGCTGGGAGTGTGTCCAAATCCGTTTCAGAAACAATATTTTCACCTGCAACACAAAACCTCACAGCAGTAATTCGCATTAGGTACTCCCACATACACCAGAGGAAACAACGTCAATATTCTGCATAAAGGAGAAACAAGGGTTCAAATTCATTAAGCTCATGCATATTCGAACTTTCTAATTACAGTCCATACTCCAGATAGAGAAACTATGTACCTTAAAGACAACACCATCAGCTTCTCAACAGATAATATCTAACGGAAAAGTTCCGAAACAAGCTCTGTGCCTATTACTGCCAATGGTCCTACAAATGTAGCTTCTGGAATTACAAGTCTGTGCCCTTAACACTGAAGAAGCTACTTCAAAACTTTAGAGAAGAACAAGTTTTGCTTTGGAACTTTGGGAGAAGAACAAGTCTGTGCACCAACATGTTATACTTCCAAATCATATCATAGTACCAGATTCTGAGAAGAACAAGTTTTGCTTTGGAACTTTGGGAGTCAATTTTGGAGTTGATACAACAAGTTGTGTTAGTGGCCCAAATAGAGAAGGGTCCCAATTCCACGCCATTTTTCTGAAATTCTCAGAATATTGAAGTGTTGAAGAGCCTCTAGGTAGCCAAATACTTTTCTTGTTCGCAAACGCCTCAGAGCAACCGCGACCTCAAACACTACTGCACCAAACCACAAAGTCAAGGATATCAACATTCAAAACATACCAATTATGTTGGACCAAAATGGAAAGAGTAAAAACAATGTTAGAAGCATATCAAACTTAATCTAAAAACAAGAATAGAGAACAAAGTGGAAGAAAAAACCAACAACCTTGCTCTTCTTCTATTATGATGCAGCTGCTAACGCACAGAGACCAAAGGATACTCATTATTATCACCAGCATCTCCATGTAAATCTTCACCAAAGAGTATCAGGAAGATGAAGCTCATTGCATTAACTGGTCATCAGAGGTATTAACGAGTAAACTGTTGCTCCTAGAGGCGCAGCTGATCCACCAGTTCCTTTACCATAAACTACTCTGGGCTGACCTTTTTCTCTTGGCCCAAATCATTTGCTATCTGCCCCTGCCAAATCGCAAATCCGGAGTTAGTAAAGGAATATACCGTTTGAAAGCAAAAGATCTAATCCCAAAAGCTATCAGATTCTTCAGCGTCAATTAAGAGATCCTTCAAATCAAATCATACAGAAAAGGGATTATCATCAACAACATTAACTCAATCGAATGAAAAAGGAAACATTTCAAATCTTGACCAAACAGGAATGGAAGGTCTTAATACAAGCAATCAAAGATTCAATCAAAGTTTTAAAGATCCAAAGCCCAAAATCGTTTATAAAAAGGGGGATTTGAATCGAAGAGGACACCTTTTTTTTGAACAATTCAAAACTCAGAAAAGATAAAATCACAAAAACCCTAAGTAGATCAAATCAAAAGAAGAGAGGAACTACTCATCTTTTTGCGCTAAGTCTTCGAAGGTTGACGCCTCTGAAGCCCACCACAAGACCACCGGAGGAAACCACTCACGTTTCGCATCCCTTCGCCTCCCATCTTTGGTAAAATCCCTTATATATGTTAAAATTATTGAATGCTTGACACCTTGATTTATGTTTCAGGAACGATCAGGGAGACGAAGGATCGAGAGAGAACGGATTGAAATGGGGAAGGATCGAGAGAGATGGCCAACGAGTGAACGGCGTTAGGGATTAGGGTTCTCCGCCGCCCTTGGTTATTTTGCTTGTTTCGTTTCAATTGTTATGTTGTTTCTGCATCAATATGAATTGTATATGTGCATGACCATGGTAGTACCATGGTCCGTCACCACTATCACCCACAAATCATGATCTAACGGATCACACTGCGCACCCACAATAAACTGATGCACCGCAAAACACCAGATCCAACACTTTAACATAATTAATTTTAATTAATCCTTTTTAAAAAAAACAAAACTAACAATCTGTTTGATTTATTTAAAAAAACCCTTTAATCTTTAATTAAAATTTATTTAAAAATAATAACCTCTAATCAACTTAATTTTCTTTTCTAAATCTAATTTATATTTTATGTAATTTAATTAAAAACCCGTTTTTATAATTTATTTTCTCAACTTTATTAATATTAATAATTCACCTTGATAATAAAATATTTTTATTTTATTAAATAAATAAGTTCTCTTATTACTTTTAAAACCCTTTTTCTAAATAACTTAAGTTGTAAAACTTTTGATAATAAAACATTTTTATAACTTCTTTCATAAAATCAAATTCACTAAGAGAATAGTCTTTTCTTATAAATTAACTCAAATAAATTAAGATAGCTTTTATTAAAAATAATGATAAACAAATATAACTTTTATCGAAAACTGCAATACAACTTTTTTCTTAAAAATAAGTCTACACTTCTTTAAAATCAAATTCATCTCTAACTTGTTAAACCAATAATATATTTTCTCATAAGCATAATTCAACTAATTTATCTATCTCACTATTAATAATCAAATACAAACCCCTTTTTTTTTTTTACTAAAATCAATTCACCTAAGTTAACTCCAAATTAAAATTAATCAACCCTCGTAATCCAATCAATCGCGCACGCCCCGATTCCACACACATCCATAATTTACACATTTGTGCACTTAGCGCTTTCATGCGTGTGTATGCTTACTTTATCTGCTTTTATTTCTTTCCGCAATTTACAATTATCGCATTTATCTTTCTTGCATCGCACCCCATCCAAAGGAAGAACCTACACATGACTTAACACTTGTGTGTATCGCATCCACATTTGCATCATACTCCCCTATGATCCTTGATCCCATTCAAGTCAATCTTTTAGGACAGATCCTACCCCATAGGAGGACCTTCGTCTTCATTTTACAACATAGAAATA